TTTTAAATTTTTTTTATATATTATTTATATAATTTTTAATATTATTATTGTTATTTATGCATGTTTTAAAACTTTTAGAACTTATTAGAATAAATATTTGTTGTTTCGTAATATTGATTAATAACAATAACGATAATAATAACAATAATAAAAATGATTTTAAAACTTTTAATTCCTTTTAATATTTTCTCTATAACCTAAGTGTCAAATAAAAAATAAATAATAATAATAATAATAATAATAATAATATGTAAAATGCTTATAAAATAAGGTAATAACGAAGAATACTTGTATTCATATTTTGTGAATTTTTTACTCAGATAGTAAATAGCTCTCTCTTTTCGATTAGACTCATCTTGTTGTCCTAGCATACATCCCAGTGAATTTTTGTATACCGTCAAATATAAAATTAAAGGTCTCCCTAGAACAAATGGCATCAACACTGGAGGATTTGACAGGTATTGCTTAATTTTATCAAAAGCTGTTTAGCATTTTTCATTCCATTTTTCAGGGTTGTTTTTACGAAGAAGTTAAAATATAGGATCACACTTATAGGTAAGCTGAGAGATGAATCGAAAAATATAGTTTAATCTTCTCAAAAAATCTCGAACTTTTTTTAGTGTGCTTGGAGGTGACAAATTTTGAATGACTCCTATTTTATCTGGATCGACCTCAATCCTTCTTTCACTGACCATAAAGCCTAGCAACTTCCTTGACCTTGCCCTAAAGGTGCATTTAGCTGGGTTCAACTTGAGTTGAAATTTTCGTAACCTCTCAAATAGTTTTATGAGGTTGGTGACATGATCTTTGCCTTTCCAAGATTTTACAATCATATCATCTACATACACCTCAATCTCTTTGTGCATCATGCCATGAAAGAATGTCACCATGGCTCTTTGATATGTTGCTCCAGCATTATTTAGACCAAAAGGTATGACTTTATGGTAAAATATTTTCTACATGATCATGAAAATGGTCTTTTCCATGTCATCTTCAGCCATCTTTATTTGGTTATATCCTAAGAACCCATCCATAAAAGAGAACACTGAATGCTTAGCCGTATTGTCTACCAGTGTGTCAATATAAGGTAAAAAAAAATTATCTTTTGGGCTAGCTTTATTTAAATCGTGATAATCTACACACATTCACACATTTTCATCTTTTTTAGGAATTGGTACAATGTTGACTACCCATTCTGGATACGTGGTCACTTGTAAGAAACCTGCATCAAACTACTTTTCCACCTCTTCTTTGATCTTGAGTAATATTTTAGGTTTCATTCGCCTTAATTTTTGTTGAACTGACTTACATTCAGGCTTCAAAGGTAGTTTATGCTCTACTATTTTTGTACTGAGCTTAGGCATATCATGATAAGATCAGGCAAACACATCTATGAATTTTTGAAGTAGATTTTCCAATTGTTGCCTATTTGCAAATGACAATGAAGTACCAATTTTATCATTTTTCTTATTCTCCTCATCTCTCAAATTCACCAATTCAGTTGTCTCCTGATAAGGCTTAATCGGTTTACTTTCTTTCTCAATCAATCTCATTAAGTCTGAAAGAATAGCATATTTTTCAAAATTATCTTCATTATCAAGTGCATCAGTATTAATTGATTTTTCAAAATTAACCTTTTGATTATTATCATGATTATTTTTTTATTCATTTAAGGACCTAAAATTGAATGAAATGGAATATGTTGGTGAAATGTAAAAATAAAAAATGAAAGTACTAAAAAAAATGAATGAAAATGCATCTTCCCTAATTTTATTAAAATAATAATAGATAAATGGCCCAAATAAGAAAGACTACCCCAAGGCCTTGGGCATAAGCTCTCGGGATGTTCAATTACATTGAATTGGTATCAATGATAGCAGGCAATTCAATAATGCTTTAATTGTTCAGCTCATAATTTGATGGACAAGGACGAACCCATGTTTTCTTTTCATTCCCACTTTCGTTTTCAATCACATAGATGGATAACTCAGCAAATGCCTCTTTCATGTTTGGTTTTTAGTCTTCTTCTGTAGTTGGGTATATAAACCCTCCAAGCTAAAGGTCTCATATAAGTGTGGAATGATCATTGTTGTCTTGTTGGGTTGTCTTCCCTTAATTCCCCAGTCTTTTATTTTATAACCGAGACCCAACTTTTCGCTATTATCCATCATTGTTGGAGGTTCACTTATCCCCTGTAAATTTTTATCCAATTCTACCTTAAGATATCAGCCTTTATTGATAACTTGACACATAACTATCTTTGAACATTGTTGGCCTTTAGGTCCATCACCTACAGAGTTAACTAACTCAAAAGATCGATAAGAGCATTCCATTATTTTTTCAGTAGCTTTCACATATGGAGCATTCAAAGGCTAAGTTACCAACATGTTCTTCTCCAAACACTACCACTAACTGACCTTCTATATTGAACTTAATCTTTTGGTGCAGGGTAGAAGGAACAGCACCTGCCATGTGAATCTATGACCTTTCTAGCAAGCAGCTATAAGATGGGGAGATGTTCATCACTTGGAATTTTACATGAGAAGTGCTTGGCCTAATTTACAAAGGCATCTCTATGTCTCATAAAACTTTTCACATGATCCCATCGAATGCTCGAACAACCATTTGGCTATCCTTCATATGCAGTAATCAACAGGTAACCTTATCAAAGTTGACATAAACATGACGTTAATAACAAAACTATTGTCAATGAAGACCTTGGCTATGATATGGCTCTTACATTTGATAGTGATATGTAGAGCCTTAGTGCTTTCTCTTCCTTCTGAAGAAATCTCATAATCACTAAATGATATGTAATTTGACATGACCTGATTTTTAGCCAAGTGATTCACATATTTAACAGACACATTATTTGCCACATGCCTGGTTCAACATTTTCAATAAGGTATTTCGATAAGGTTTTAAATCAATAGCAATGATAATAATGAGATTCGTGCTGGCATCTTATTTAATTATTTCACCACTGAGTATTCACTATGTTTTATCAGCTTTAAAAATTCACAAGCCTCTCTCTCTCTGACACTAACTTCGGACAATCCTCTTTAGGCGCCACTTTTTGGTTATTTTTTTCTTCACCTGCCTTAACTTTTTTTTTTAGATTTTTTAATATTTTTGGAGTGTAGCACCTTTTGCTTCGAGTGATACCCCTCACACTAGTTATATTGACAGCATCAAGCTTAGAGACATTCTCTTCTTGCCCTTGGGCTATTATGTCACAACCATATTTTCATGGCACAGCCCTATTACTCTTGTAAGGGAATAGAGCATGGACTTTAAAAGTTACTGGCCTAGGGTCAAACTTGTCTACGATTGACTTTGGCTTGTCCCTATAATAAATTATTAACGATCTTGAAAATAGTTTTGATGGCTTGTTAGTCATAAACACTTCAACATTCGTTGAATCATACCTTTCCTCGTAGAATTTAATCTAGTATCAATCTATGAGCTTTTGTGCTTTTTGAAAAAATTGCCACATGTTTCAATAGAGTGGCCAAATGCCCCACTATGATATTTACAACTTTTACCTACTATATATGTTTCATGATAAGTATATAGACTGACTAGTTATATCATGTCAGCTTTTCATAAAACATCAAATAGCTGACAGAGAGGGGTCTTAATCTCTGCCACTTTCTTCTTTAGATAATGCTCTTATTCTTCACTTAAAGCATTCACATGGTGATTAGGCAAAAGATTATCACGAACATTTGGTGCAATTCCCCCTCTTGTATCAAAATTGACCATTCTATTATTGATCAATCATTACACTTTATGCTTCAAGATAGTATAATTCTCGATAGAATGGCCAGCAATCCCATAATGATAGTCACAATGAGCCGTGAAATCATACCACTTAGGGTATGGTAGTTTGGATGGCTCTACTCAATTATAAGCAATTAGATTATTATTGTAGAGCTCATGATATAACTCTGTATAAGTCATAAAAATTAGATCAAATATGAGTTTTTCGTGAGTAGTTCGTTGCTCTCATAAACCACTCATAGGACTAATCGGACGAATTTGAGGTCCAGGAAAAGGTTAAGCATTAGGGTCATATGTGGCAGTTTGAGGTCTAAAAGGGGATTGATAGGTTTGGAGGTAGAGTAACTATAGATTTGGTTGGAATTGGTGAGCATTATTCACAGTGAAATAATTTTAAGAGTAGCTCTAAGGTGTGTAGGGCTGATAACCCCTGAACTATTGTCTATCAAAGCTCACAGCCTAAGCTTTAGTCTCTTTCTTTTTTAGGGCCCTTTTAGTATATGTTTCCCCTCCCTTTAACTTGTCATTTTTTATGGCACTCTTAATAATTTGACCAGAGATCATCATGTCGGTGAAATTCTTTGTTGCATTTCCTATCATCTATTCATAATAAGAAGATTTCAAGGTGCTGACTGTAAACACCCCATTTTGTCCGGAGTTTTCATCGATGGAAAGTTTGATACAAGCTCAATTGTAGAATTTTATTTATTTTAAATTTTATTTTGTATTTATCATATTTTTTTATTTATGTTATTTAGTTCTAGTTTAATTTCATCATTATCTGGGTTTTTTTTTTTTTTTAAGGTTGGACTTAGTGGGAAGAAGTGAGTGACAGTGATAGGGTTGGAGTGAGATTCATCTTGTGGAAGATAAATTTTGATTTTCTTTGATAACACAAATAGAATCACAATTGTTTTAAAATTCTCCTAAGTTTATCCTATAAATCAACAGAAGAATCAATTGGGGGGAGATCAGATAGGAATCACAGAAAAAATCTAAAGATCAAAAAATGAAAGAAAATCAGTAGTGAAATAGAGAAATTGGCATAGCTTATGTTTAGAGCAGCAATATGTAATAGACCATCATGTAGAGTCACCAGTTGGTGGGAAGAAGCAAGAAAATAAGTGCCCTGACTGCAAGTCTAAGAAAGAGAAAAGTAAACGAGAAAGGGAAATAAGCAAACCAAAAAAGTAAAAGGATTTGATAAAGCCAACAAATTGATTTTTGAAAGATTTTAGTTCAAAAGCCCACATGCTCACAAGCTCCAATTCCCATTCTTGTGAAGAGTTTTGTTTATTTTCATCAATGATGTAGTAGGAGGCCAGAACGAAGGAGACAAGAAGGCAGTAGTGGTGGAGTTCACGACGATGAAGCCACAGCTGATAGTGGAAGCACCAAAGGTAGTTGATACAGTGCAATTCTACAAGATCGCGTTCGACGTTATCGATAATAGTTGTATTCTTTACCCCAAGTGCAAGGTTGAGCAGGAACTTCTTCATATCCTCTTTGTTCAGTTTGAGCTCGCTGGCTCTACCATTCTCGTATCTGACATCGCTGGTAACTCTACTTCTGTGAAAAGTGAAAAAACTGAATGTGTGCTTTGCATCAAAACTGAGGACGTGAAAGCTGTTATAGCTAAAGTCGTGAGCGCTGGAGTCGTTGTAGAGGAAGGTGACGCGTGCTGTGGTGGGCACGTAGGCAAGGACAAGGCTCCCTATGGATACAGTTGACTCATCTGCTCTCTTGCCAAGAATGTTGCTGACGTCCCTACACTGTTGGGATTTGGTTTCTTTTTGCTTTTGAATTCTGAAAAGAGTATAAAAAACAGGCAGGGGAAGCCTATACCTGCCTATCTATGTTGGCCTCATATGCAAGCTGATCAAGTTCGGGGGCTAAGTACCAAAGAAGTTAGGGGGAGGTTTTGGAAGCACCATCGATCTCCCTCTGTTCGTTCTACATGCCATGCTATTGTTAAACCATCTACCATGGTGCAAAAAAAGTACAGAATATAAAAAAGTTAGGGGGATATCAGAATGCTGTCTATTGTGCCATACTTGATCATTCTGAGAGATATGTTATTACTGGTTCAGATGATCACCTTGTCAAAATTAGGTCTATGAAAAATGTATTTTGCTTGGCTAGCTATCGTGGACATGAAGATGGGTTGCCAGTTTTAGTTTTATGAGGGCATACTGGAGCTGTAACTGTCATTACATTTAGTCTTAGGCCCTACCTTTGCTTTCCAGCTTTAATCATCATTTGATGATGGGACTTACCGAATCTGGGATGCCAGATATTCACATTACAACCCACGCATGTACCTACCGAAGCCTTCTGAAGCTGCTGCCATCGAAAGGAGCAATTTTCCATCTAATAATTGATCGAGACAAGCGAAATCAGTTTTTGAGTCATTTCAGTTTTTCTACATCTGAAGTCGAGTCACGCCAACTTTCCAACTGAATCAATTTTTTTTTTGTTTATTTATTTTTAAGGGTATTTTTGCATGAATAAAATTAAAAATATATAAAAATAAAAAATAAAAAAATTTTGAGAAAAAGTTGAAAGCATCAATTTTTCTTGAAAATAAATTTTTTTTTTTTAAAAAATATTTTTTAGGAGAAGTTGAAAGTATCAATTTTCTTTGAAAATAAGTTTTCTAAATTTTTTTTTTTAGAAAAAGTTGAAAGTATCAATTTTCCTTGAAAATAAGTTTTCTAAAAAATATTTTCAAAGAAAAATTGAAAGTATCAATTTTCTTTGAAAATAATTTTCTGAAAAAAGTTTTTTGAGAAAAAGTTGAAAGTATCAATTTTCCTCGAAATTAAAGTTTCAAAAAAACATTTTGGAGAAAAATTAAAAGTATCAAATTTTCTTGTACAAAAACAATGAGTTTTTGAAGAGAAAAAGATTTATATCTAAAGCTGAATCATTTTTTTTATTTCTTTGTTCTCTTTGTTTCTTGAATTTTCTTTAATATTAAATAATCCGACGATAGAGCCTCTGCAAGTGAAACAGTAGTCTCCTTACATACTCTTGAGATGAGAGAATTTTTTTAATTTTTTGCTAAAAGTATTAGAGTTAATTGAGAATAATTTTCAATAATTAATTACTTGATAAAATTTTAAGGCTTATTGGATAACATAAAATTAAGCTGGTACCATCTTTCGATGGGCGTTATGAGGGTGCTATAACCTTCTTCACATGTAACCGTATTCCCAAAATCTTGTTCTAGTTAGTAGACCTGAACCTATTCTTTTAGGGACCCTTAGGCTTAGGTGTTCCTTAAAAAGATAAATTATTTAGGTGACCAATCGCACCTAGATAAAAAAAGATTGGTGGCGACTCCGCTGGGGAAGTCTGAGAGTCAGGCCAACAAATAAATTTTTGTTATCCAAAAGCCTAATAAAATTTTTGTATAGATTTTTTTTATTCATTCATATTTATTTATTCTGTTAATTATGTCATTCATATGCATATGCATAACATGAGCTCTATACCTGAGCTCTGTTCCTCTAGGAGAGAGTAAAATACCTATTGCCTTTGTGAGGTTTAATGCCTCTGCAGTGGCTAGCGAAATACTCTCACTCAAATTGAATTTTTTTCGCTTGTAGCTTGTAATGGGTGAGGATTGGGGTGTCTTACTAGTCTGTGACAGACAATAATGTAATGAGCAATTTGAGAACCTTTAGACTTTAGCCTTGAACCACATATAGTGTACACTTAAGAGGCTAACCTAAGATAGAGCCTTTCCTACCCAATGATAGATATACCCTGAAACTAGGACACAAGAAGGATGTTTATCTAATCATTTTAATTGTCTGACTTTGTGCCTCATTTTTATTATCATATGTAACATTATGCATCGGCATCACTTTCAGGTCATCTGTGAAACTAATCATGTTGTTTGTCTGATTTTGTGATCATGTTTTAACATTATCATTTGCATCCATTTCAAGTAGATTTCATCCATTAAAATATACATTTCATTCGTGCATCAACATATCATACATAAAGCATGAAAATTTTTAAAAATTTTCAAAAAAAAAAAATACCCGAAAATTCCAAAAAAAATCCTAAAATTTCTCAAATTTACCTACGCCTTTCTAAACACCTTTTGCTTCTATTTTCTCTTTGTTTCGTGCATTTCCCCTATGTGTTTCTATGTATGATTCGTAGGTTATTTATAGGGTTCAATCAGAAGAGTTTCTGATTGACCCTAATTCTCTCTTTGAATAGGATTAGCAAAAAACAAATTGAATTCCACTCCAATCTTATCAGTCACCATTCACGACAAATTCCTTTTTTTTATCTTCTAGAATAAAAAAAATAAAAAAACGTAATAATAAAAATAAAATTTAGAACAGTTAACCAAAAAGAAAAAATACAAAATACAAAAATACAAATAAAATGGGCTAATGTGTCCTATTTGGACAATACCCAATTGATCCGGACCTGGATCAAATTGGGTGTCTACACTATTTCATTTTAATGCCTCTTAACTGATCAATTTCTTTCTTTTTTTCCTTGGTGGGGGTGTCTTATTTAGATGTTAATTAATTTCATCTTACAGATGATAGCAAAATTAATTCATATTTTCTATAGAATTGGCATTAGCTTTATATTTAAAAAAAAAAAAGAAAAAAAAAAGAGAGAGACCATTCAATGGAGTTGGAAGGTACAGGGGCCCTATTCCAGCTAACAACATATGATCTCCATTTTATGAGCCACAGCCACACTAATCCATTTGAAGGTCCTATGCAATTGTCTCTAGGCCATAAAAATGCATAGTAAAATCTCTTAATTAGATCCCAAATCCAAAAAAGTTGCGAAAATCTTTAAATTTGGATCATCCATTGAATAACTATGATATGATCAAGAAAACACAAGCCAATTGATGGTTTTAAATCAGATATTACCACATAAAATAAAACCAAAAAGAAAAAAAATCTCAATTCGAGATCACCCATCTTATCTTGTCAATTTTCCTTTATTATGTAATAGATGATGTAATTAATCATATTGTTAAGGAAATGAAAGGAAGAAGTCGCTGCTCGTGTGGAAAGTGGAACCAGCTTTGACCACTTCTCTCTCTCTCTCTTTTTCTCTGTCGCACTGATCAGTTATAGGAAGTAGGAACCATCTTTTTCGCCATAGGATCCTTCGTCTGAGGTTCCTAATTTTGCGTGTGAGTTGCTTACACGTTTTTAAACTCTAGAATAAAGAGAAATAGGCATGTGAAAGCTTTTCAGTCTTTCTAATTTGTTGCATCACAACTACGACACAGCTGCTTGAATTGGGGTCATTGGGGTTCCATTCTTTCCAATATGTTATGCTGTAGGGTTACAGACAAAAAAATAAAAAACTCTCTCATTGGAGCCATAAAACGTTTAAAACATTTCCTTTGTTAAATGTTGCAAAATTCTTCGCTAGAAAGTGTTCTTTTCCAAGCATGTTACATAGGCAAATTCAAGAGTTAGACCGTGTTACATAGGCAATTTTTTAGCTAAATGAAGGTTGTTAAGTTTTCTTTTAATTATAATGATTAATATAATTAAATGAAAACTAAAATTAAAATTAAAAATTAAATGAAACCAGTTATTTCATTATATTTTACATATAATATCAGAAAAAAAATCATAAGATATTCAAAGATAATCCAAACTCCCCCTTCTCCGACCGACCATATTGTCAGACTCATCCTACTTTGTTGCTTGATGAATGTTGTATTGAATAGAAGAAAGCTCATTGGAGACAAAAATATTTCTGTTTAATGTGGAGGATGAGAAGCATATTCTTCAAGTTGTATTCATATATATCCATTTCCTAATATAAAATGTGCTTCCAACATTTGGATTTTTATTCTTAGAAAAGTCAAGTAATATCAGTACCCAATTATAGGGGAAGTTTTGTTTTCACTCCATCTCTTACAAAAATTATACAATAGAGGACTTAATTAGAAGGACAAAGCTACTCAAAACAACATTAATGGAATCTAACAAGAAAATTGCTCCATAAATTACTAAACAAACTTCAAGGTCAGTTTCTAATTGAAATAAAGAATTTTTTTTTTTTTACAAAATTACTAATGTAAGTAAAATTATAATTATATTCAAGTATTCTATATAAAAAATCAATTAATCAAATCAAATATATAAAGCAATCAAACCCGACTTCCTCCTATTCATTATACTAAAATTTCATTGGTAAGTAATGAAATTAAGAGATACCAATTATCCCATTGCATTGAAATATTTATTGGTATAACTTTTATGTGAAAAACCCACATCGAATAAAAGAAAATGAAGAAATTCTTAATAAATGTGGGTATATATATTTATATTTTAATATTAAATTCAAATGACAAAGTCAGAAACAGATCCTTCAAATGAAATGTGAAAACTAGAAAAACAGAGCAATATTTTCACGCGTGCCAGGACACCATAGACTACTTGGAAGCGCGTACGTACGGTACACTTGTATATATAGATTTGCTAATTGATTCCTCCTGGCGAATTGGAAAGAATAATTTCCGTCAAACTGCATCCGAAAACTCCACACTGACTTTTTTTTTTTTGGAGCTTTTCATTAATTACCGGTCTTTGTTTTGAAGGCAAGCCTTTCAACTCCCTACTCCAAACTCCACACTGACTTTTTTTTTGGAGCTCTTCATTAATTACACATCTTATGCCATTTTATGCTGTTTTAGCCTTGAGTTTCCTTTCTTGGATTTTCTCTTCTTGATCTGTGCTTTAGTTTGCTTAGTTTTTCTTCTTTGTATGACGTCCTTTATTTCATTTCTTTAGTCAACAGCAAGGATGATAACGGGGGTAATACTTTAGTATCAGCCTATCAGATATATAGCTTGAAATCTTGGCAACTTTTGATTGCTTTGATTTCTTTTTGGTGCCTTCATTTCTAAGATTTTGTTGTCTTTTTTAATCATTCCAGGTTTAAGGGCGGCCTCAACAGAAACGATAAAAAGGAAAAGCTTCTTTAATGGAAATCGCTTCAGGAAAATGGTTATCTGAACTGGTAAAGACTCTTCTGCCACTGTTCCCAACCATCTAAAGAAAAGAATTCTTTCGTATGTAATTAGTTTTGATGGTTTCAAATACAGGAAATGGGGGATCCCACGTTTTTCCCACAACAGCAAATGATGAACCCTATTGACTATCCATTTGATGATATAAATTTCCAATATTTTTCTTCTGAGAGCTATTCATCATATCCAAATGTCGACCAGAAATTCTCCCACAACAATAATATCAATGGTTTATGCATTGAAGCTAATTTTCATCAGATCGACGACTTTAAAAGGCCAATCAAACAACAGATCAAGACCACCAGCTGGAACTCTTGTATCACAGAAAACATCCCACCAAAGGCCGCTCCTTCCTCCTCTTCCCATATAATCTCCTTCGACAACTCAAATTCATCAGCAGCTATATCTCAGCAATACTATGGTCTAGACTGTGATGAAAAACCAAAAAATGAGGTGGGTTCGGATAAAAATTATACGGGATATTTTCCATCTTTGATTTTGCAAACTGCCTAAAAGGACCAATATTGTTCATCTAAAATTGGACAGGTTTCAAAAAGGGTCGGTTCATTGACTAGGACTCCATTACATTCTCAAGATCATGTAATTGCTGAAAGAAAACGCCGTGAAAAGCTCAGCCAGATGTTCATATCTCTTTCAGCACTTATTCCTGGCCTGAAAAAGGTACAAGTTCAAAGTCTTTCAGTCTAGATATATTTTTTTCAAAGGTTCCTGTTTTAATTTCTTTTATTTATAGTTTAATTAGGTCCATGTAGAAAACAAGTGCTGTCGGTAGTTGTGGCTTTGAAATTTCATCAAAACTACTATTAAGTTTTATTTGCTATAATTACCTTCCCTTATAAAAGAACTCCATGATTTCATGGGAAAAAGCAGCCAAGAAATGATGTTTCTTTCAAATAACTATTAGCTATGGTTGCATATTTCATGTTTAAACTTTAAATTGCTTGATTCAATGTTAAAGAAGAGGAGAGGACTCTAATTTTCACACAATATGAAGGTTAGCCTAATATTAGTTTCATATATAGTTCATACAATATAGCATTTCATGCAATAACTTTTGGAATACATCAAAAGAAACAAATTAAGCTTTGGCTTATGCTGATCAAATATGTCTATGCAGATGGACAAGGCTTCTGTTCTTGGAGACTCTATCAAATACATGAAACAGCTTCAAGAGCGAGTGGCTACGCTTGAGGAACAAGTGGCTAAGCAAACAGTGAAATCAGTGATTTTTGTGAAGAAAACCCAAATTTATGCAGATGATGAGACATCTTCATCTGATGAGAACTTTGATAGCCAACCTAACAAGCCCTTCCCCGAGATCGAAGCAAGAGTTTCAGACAAGGATGTGCTCATTAGAATCCACTGCGAGAAACATAAAAGGTGCATATCAAATATCATAAATGAAGTGGAAAAGCTTCATCTCTCTGTGGTCAATAGCAATGTCTTGCCGTTTGGACAAGCTACTCTTGACATAACCATTGCTGCTAAGGTAATTTCACAACCTTTTAGAAATTCTGGCCAGGAACTTTTATTTGTTTCTTCCTTTTCTATTCAATGTTTTGTTTAACTAAAAGTTCTAATTACAACCCTTGATTTAGCCTTAATTTCATGGTTATTGTTGCAGATTGAAACTGAGTTTTCAATGACAGTGAAGGATCTTGTTAAAAGCCTACGACTTGTATTGCTGAAGTTCACTTGATGAACTTGCAAAACGATGTACACGTTAAGAAAACAAGATTGCCCATTGATTTCCATTTGATAGGGAGAAAATAACTAGGAATTTAAGCCCTGTAGAGTTTTTTCTTTCTCCTTTTTTTTTTTGGATCATTGATAATTTTCTATATAGTTTATCTTTGTTGGTTTTTTCCTCGGACCTTAAAGAGAGTAACAATATGGCCCGGAAAATTTTCTCTCAATAACAGGCGCTCTTCCTAGTTAAATAAATAGGATGCCTCAATTAAAAGATTAGTCTGATGGGTGATTATTAATTTGCTAAAAGTAGACAAGATGATTTGTCTTTTATATTGTGTAAAATATTAGTAATTTATGTATTTATGTCATATTTTATATGAAAATTATTTATCACAATTTTTGTTTATACGAAATCATGAAATATATTTTTTAAAATTTTGTTAAACTCAAATATAATTTTTATTAAAATTTTAAATTGTATTCTTCATATCTTTTTTTTTTTTTCATACCGTATTATATTTTAAATTGTTATTTCTAATTAAAAATCTTAAACATATGTAAAGATAAGGGGAAACATCAAAATCCGAGTATGATTACAATAACATATTTAAAGTTGTTTAGCCGAAAAAAAACAAGTTTAACCCTCTCGTTGTTAATATTTAACTAACACAACTATCATTTACCTTAAAAAAAAAAAAAAGCCTCCTTAATAAATATTAGACTATCTCCTTGAGATTTTGCGGAGATTTTATAAAATAGGGATCTCCCTCCTTTCTAGAGTTAATTAATTCGTGCAAAAGGATTAATAAATTTTTCTTTTTTAATACTAATTAATGAGTCCTAATTCAAAAATATGAAAAAAAATTGTAATTGTTAAGATTTAAATATTAAATTTATTAAATATTATTTTTAAAAAATAATTATATAAATCAATTAAATTTAAACTTGAATTCAATAAATTTTACTCTTTGATACAACAACCCCGCTCTATATATGTAGTTTAAAATCAATCGCCACCCTCCTAATCAAATCTTTAATCAAGTTCAAGCTTAGTTGGAGAGCATAATTAAGTTGACGGTTTGTGGTTAATTAATTTGCTGTATAAAGTGGGTTTAAGGAACTCCATCGTTTTAACTTGTGTAAGACTAAGTCGACCTTGCTAATAAACCAACACTTCTGGCTAGATTTTGCGATTGATGAATAATGGAGAAAGATGAAACTAAACCAACCCAAAACCGACCAAATAGACAGCATTTTGAAAAGATCCCAAAAATTTGTAATGAAAAATTTGTTGTTCTTGTTCAATAATTAATTTCTATGAACCTTCGCAAGGAGAAATTATAGTCAAAGTGAGGCAACTACGTGTAAGGAGGATCAGAGATAACTGCTACGACTTTTGACCCTAAACAGTACAAAATAATGGTCGGTGCTGTTAATGGTATTGGGTATTGGGTTTGATATGGGCTGAAGAATCGTTGACGACTATATAAATACGTCTACAATTAATGTTGTTGGTGTTCTTTCTGTTATCTTCCTTTTCATACCATTTTTACATTTCCACTGCATGAAAAATTAAATGTTTCTATCCAACAAATTTGGAGTTTCCCCACCTAAACGTTAGACATTTATTCAGCATATTTATTCATTTCAGGTTCTATATAATCTTTTTGGACTGATTTGTTAGTAAAATACTTTGACTAATTGAACTCCCAAACTCTTTTTTTTTTTTTTTTAGATTTTAGATGAAATTTCAATCATATATAAAACAATATGATATTCTAATTATTAGAACCAATAGGTCAAATATTATCTGCTCCCGTTAAATAATCGACAACTATTTGAAGTATTTTTAGGGCTTAAAGAGTAAATTAATCATTTTTTTTATTAAAAATTGTCAACAAACAATAAGGAGTATATTCGATTTTTGAACAGATCTAACATATATAATATAACATCAACTTGGTTATATCGTTATTCTACTTCACAAATCCTTCAACTTCCGTATATAAATAAAATCACTCAAATATTATTTATTTAATCTCATTTTTTTTTACTTTTCTTATTTTTCACTCTTCTTCTAATTTCTTACATCCGATCCCTGACTTAAGTATCGAAACCTAAATGCAAGAAAATTTTTTATTTTTATTTTTAACTTTTTATTTTTTTTTGTGATTTCAAGATTTTGATCTTCAACTCAGAGTTCGATATTAACATCTGTCATTGCCTAACTTTTTGGATTAATATCATAACACAAAATTTATTTTTTTATATGCACGATAGTACATTGTCACGAATTGATCATAGCAAAACGTACACGTAAATTTGATACTAAAAAAATACTCATCAAGCGCTATGACATGAATATGAACATTGTACAATTAAAAAAAAAAAAAAACAACGATAGTTTTTGGCTTTTTCTTTGCTTTCTTTGGGGACAAGTTTGCGAAAGTTTAGTGGGTGTTGCTCCAGCCGATTAGTATGTTCATTGCGGAGCACCAGCTTTTCCACACGGTGCTGGACGTTAGGAATTAGTGGGGTCGATTATTATGACAAAATGTTCAATATAATTTATTATTTTATTACTAATATATCAATGTATAATAATTTCATCCACATATTTTCAAAAAGCTTGTACGGTTGTACCTTTAATCATTCAAATTAAGTTGTTAAATCTTTCTAGATTGCCAATGCTTGACTAATGGGAGAGAACTCTTATACGCAGTTCTTATTTTGTGCCTGTAATCAATCACACTCCCACCGTACAACTTGGAATTTGTCACCTAATTACTTATTATCTATCCATAGATCATATATCACATTTGATTTGATTGAGGTTTGGGTAAAACTTTTTAAGCATAGTCCATCATACCAAAATAATATTTAATGAATAAAAATATTTTATATAATTTTAATTTTAAATTTTAAATTTTTATATATGTTTTCTATTTAAAAAAATTTGAATACGTTAGATCAATTTAAGTCTTGAACAAAAATTTTCAAAGATCAAACAAACTTGATTTGAAACAATTAAAATTGGCCCATGGACAAATATATAACTTACCAAGAAATAATCAAATATGATTGGATATATGGAGAATTTGTCATATGTATATATTGATTGACGGATTTTTTTAACACTACAAGCACGTTTATAGGATTGCCATTAAGTTATAATAAGGAAATTAAAAAAAAATAATATAATTATTGAACAAGACGTGTTAATCTAATTCGTTTGTTTAGTTTAAAGTCTTAGATATCTAATAAAGTCATCTCTTTTTATTTCATAAATGATTATTTTTCTATCAATGATTCTTTTCTCCTACATTTTTTTCTTTTATTTACCCTTTATCTTTGGAACCCAGCCGTGCCTCCTTGATTTCATGCATCAAATATGGTTGGCCTTCAAGTAGTTAAGGATATGCCTTATCTTCAAAAGGGCATGCAGAAAAAAAAAAAAAAAAGTCATAGGTTTTATCATCGATGATTCAGAGTAAAGCTTGGCGGGTTGACTTTATAAAGTGAAAGGAATAAGTAAACAGTTTTTTACCCAAAGATTTCTAATTTTATAAAGAGTTAAACGTTTAAATATGAAGTACAAAGCAATAATATTCCACTAAGCCATTGAATTAAGCACCACAAATTTGACTTAATTCGAAACTTTTGATTTAGTAAAGATTCTTGAATTCCATGCAAAAATGATCACCGGGAAAATCAAGAAAGTGAAGAGAATAAAAAGGAGGCAGCTGATTTGAAAATGGCAAAGTTTTCCATGTCTTATTCTTTTGTTTACGATCTCGTAGCTGTTTAATCAAATCTCTTTCACTTTTATTAGGTTAATAAGTTGGATATTCAAGTCGGTAATAAGAAACTCAAAGAGGGTTTTTTCTTGGCATTTTACCCTTCCATACAAGTTTTTTAAAGTGGAAGTCTGGAAAAAGATTCAGAAATTTGTCTGATATATACATTGACAATAAAATGTTTAAACTCACAAATGAATATATATGCTTATCGCATGTTCATTAAATTATATTTAAGAAATTAACGCTACACACTAACAGCTTGTACAATTCAAAATCTTCATCCTTAACGTATAAAACAATGATTCTTACTTTTAAATGTCTCTTTCTTATAAAGACCTTTTGATCATAAAAATGGTTTACTTGAAATTTGTAGCTATATTTGATAGTGTAAATTAGAGAATTGGGCCATAACCTAGCTCTAATTTGGGTCCAGTTGAGCTACCATCCATTGCTTTGCCCACAAGTAGCCTATATATAGTTATGTTATGGGAATGCCTTCTTCACATGGAACCCAATATTTATCTAGACAGACCCAATCTGAGCTGTTCAAGGCTTCTTACTTGCATTTCTTTGGGCTTGGAATCCGAGATTTTCTATGCCGTCTCTGGTCTAGCACGACCAAGAACTTTCCGCCCTCCTCCTTCTGATTTCAGGGATTTCTGTTATTTACCTTATCAAACCGGAGATATGAAAAGGAAGATTTAATTATAAACTATGGAGAAAAGGGGAGTTTCTGTTATCCAATATCGATCTAATTAGAGAAAGATGAAGAAAGAAGTAGTGCTTCCATTAGTGAAAACAACTTCTTAAACAGTTGTGGCACTGGTGGCTCTAGTGAGGCAATATTGGAAGCAAAAAAAGGACAGACAATGGAACAAAAGCCAACTAATTATATGTAAATTTGCGAGGGAAAGTGCAACTCCAGTCCCCTATTTATTGCAAGTGCCTAATGCCATGGTTTCTAATATGGAAGCCTCATTTACTTCATCAAACGAAGCAACAAGTATCCTCAACATGCTTGTTTCCTACGTCTCTCCTCTTCCAACTGGGTAAAATCTCAGACCTCAATCTTCAAATACAGTAGATAGTATTGTTTTATATTACATATTAATGTTGTTTTGGCGCTGTTGCATTGGTGGCAGGATTAATGAGTAGGGAATGCATTTTGGGGTTAACTTGAGAGACAAATTTTTGGATGGTGTGTGCGAGGCTGGAAGGCAAAAATGAGGCTATTTCTGATTTATATAGGGAGGAAATTTCTGTTCCTTCCAATGTCATGCTGGCCATTTCACAGGTATGGTTTTACTTTTGCTGATTCGATATGATGATATATATGTTGTGTAAGTATGGGAGGACCTTTTGGGATACATAGAAAAAAAATTGACTTAGTTGATTTGTTTTCCAATATGTTGATCGTTTGATTGATAAATAAAGTTTTAATCATATGAAACTTTTAAAACCTATTGGTCTTCACTCTTCAGGAATTATTCGATTTCATTGCTTCGTAGC